ATCCCCTAGAGCCTAGCACTTTGAACTCGGACTTCTAACCTCCAAAACTGCAAGAGATATGGCCAATTTACCTCTGTTTTTTATTTTTATTATTATTTTTCATTATTAAATTTGAGAGTTTGCCAAATGCAGGTTTTCCTTAACTTTATTTACTAACTGTGCTGGATAATACTCTGTGTTGTCACACTGCCTGTGTTTAAATTTTAGATGCCTTCATTTTCCTTTTCTTGTTTTCTTTGAACTGTTGGGTCAAGTATCATGGAATTGACTCCAACATTTGTAGGCCCAGAAGATTGCTCTATTAGCAGCATCCTTTTGTTGTTACGTGCCGTCGAGTCAGACCCGACTCATAGCGACCCCTCCTTGGGTTTCCGAGGCAGTATCACTATGGATGTAGATTGCCCACCCTTCCTTCCATCAGCATCCTTAAATCACCTTCTATTTGGGAGGTTCTCTGGTGGGATAGTGGTCTAAGCACGCACCTGGTAACCAAAAATTTGGTGGTTCGAACCCACCAGCTGTACCACAGGAATGTGATGAGGCAGTTTGATTCTGTAAAGGTTTACAGCCTTGGAAACTCTCTGGGGGCAGTTCTGTTCTGCCCTGTGGGGTCACTGTGAGTCAGAATCAACTTGGTGGCAGTAGATTTGTTTTATGTATTTATTTATGGAATCTGGAAGGAAAAGAAATCCTTACCTTCTTCCAAGGAACCCTAGAGCAAGTCAAAATACAGAACACCCAGTGTTTTGACATCACCAGAGAAATGCTGCCTCTAGATGAGACTCAACCACCTGCTATCTCAGACTTTAGGATTTTCAGACAAATATAAGATTTTGAATTTTTGTCTAAATTTATCTTAACTCTTAATTTTCATGGACTGTGTATGGTTTTGGGGTTGGGTTGGGGAGTAGTTTGGGCCTAACTGGGGGCTTGTAGACCCTATTTCCACCACCTTCTCATTTCCCACGTGCCCTGGGCCTAGACTCCTGATTATAGCACACATACTCTCCAGGTGGCTGACTTTTCTTTCTCAATTCCCTTTCTTTAAGAATAAAGTTCATGATTCCTTTCAGGAGAGTTCCCCACCTTTTACACACCTTTTGAAAGAAGGGAGTGAGGTAAAAAAAACTCAGAAACTGTGACCTTGTCCCAAGATTTCAAACTGAACCAAAACAAAGGAAAACAGAGCCAGTTTTTCAAGACTGTTAGTACTAAAGAGAAACTCCCCCCCCCCCCCAATTATGGGGTTTATTAAGGAAGCAACAGGTTACAATCCAGGTTTAGCTTGGCTCAGGATACAGCTTTTCAATCAGGACAGCTTTCCCTTGGCCATGTTCTCAGGCACACCTCTCTTTGGCCCTTGGTCTCTCGACCTGGTCTCTATCCTGCTTGAGCAATTGTTACAAAGCTCTTTTGCTTCTGCAGATAGGGGCACCTAGGTGTATCCCACTCCACGAGCAAACCTCCTGCCCCAAGACACTCAGCTTTCTTTCTCTGTGGGCTGGCAAGCCCACAGCTATCTCTTGCCCTTTGGTTCCACTGTCCCCATCTGTCTGCTGTGTCTGCCAGTCTCTCTGACAAGGAGGTACACTGCATGGATCTCGGGTCCAAAGATGCGCTTCACTCCACCTTCAGTTCTTCACTCTTGATGGCAGTGAAAGAGAAACTGTTTGATAATCAATTTGCCAAGCTACTTACAACTTACAACTACTTATAAACAGGTCTTTGCCCTGATTTAAAATGATTCTGTCATAGCTGATGGAAACAAGGGCAGTGTAAGTGTTACACAGCAACCAAATCTCTTGTGCATCAAATATTGGCCCAGAGTAGGAAATAGGCACTGGTGACCCACTCAAAGATGGCAGCCGACCATGCCACTTTGAATGTTTCTTGGCCACCATCTTTGAGCAAGGCACTAATTCCACCCCTTGTCAACTTGGCACCTGTACAGGTCTCCTCCACTCGGTGGCTCCAGTCCCCTAGTTCCTGAATATTGACCTCACCCCCTTGGCCTAGAAATGGCCCGTTCCTCTCCCTCTTGGGCAGTGGCTATGGCTCCATCCCACAGGCTCACATGAATGAGCAGCCCCACACTGCAGAACCAAGTTGGTGAAGGCCTGGCTCTTTGAAACCTAGGGGGCTGTGGTCGTTCCACCCCAAAAGGCCATGGTCCTACCATTAAGGCTGAGGCAGCTCTGCTTCCATTTCCTTGGTCTCTCCGCTTCTGCCGATTAATGCCCGAGGGCAACCCACTCCGCTGAAAAACCATGCCCAAAAAGCACTCAGCTTTTTTGCTCCATGGGCCGGCCAACCTGCTACTCCATTTCATGCCGATCTTTTCTACCAATTAATGCCCAAAGGCAACCCACTCTGCCAGGAAGCCATCTACGAAAAGGCACCTGGCTTTCTCCTCTGTGGGCTGATAAGGCTGTCTCTGTCTCATGCGGGTTCTCTTGGCTCTGCTCCTGCCGTCTCTCTTGCCGGTCTCTGGGCTCTGCTCTGCCGTCTGCCATGCCAGTCTCTTGCTGTCTGTCCTGACGTCTGTCCTGCCATATGCCGGGTTCTCTCTGCCAAGGTCTTGGGTCAAGGACACACTCCACTCCTGTTTCCACATTTTAGGCATCTGTCAACACAGCACCCCCCTCTCTCGGTACCAAATTCTGTTCTGGTTACCTAGTGCTGATCTGACAAGAAATATACTATGAATGGGATAGCCTTAACAAACAGGAGTTTATTCTTATAATTTGGAGGCTTTAAGTCCAAGTTCAGGAGCTCTGGTAGCATAGTGCCTAAGGCACCTGACTGCTAACCAGAAGGCTGGTGGTTCAAGCCCACCAGCCACTCCTCAGAAGGAAGATAGGGCAATCTACTTCTGTAGTGATACTGCCTTGGAAACCCAAGGGGGGTCGCTATGAGTTGGGTCCAACTCAACGGCACATAACAACAAGAAGTCCAAGTTCAAAGTGCCAGACTCTAGGGGCTGGGTGAAAGCCCCTCAACCTTGGGGTCCAGCTCTGCCTCCTGCTCCCGGCCCACTGGAGCTAGAGGCGTTTCTTCACTCAAACAGCTG